TAACACTCTAAGGAGAGAAAAGCTATTTTGCGTTGTCAAATGTATCCGCGAGCTCATAGTTGCAATCCGATTAAAATTTTCCTAGTCGCCGCAAAGAATTTTTATGAATTTTCATAAGTCTCGGTTATGAGGGACTTGAGAAATTTCGGCGAACTTCAGCTTTTTGATAGCTTTCTACTTGAAAATTTTTCTCTTAAAATGTGTGTGGCCAGAGGCAAGATTGTAGGTTACATTTCATTCATCCTAACGACTGGACGATGAGTGGGGTGTATACAAAAGTTGGATCTCTTTTCGAGCGCGTGGAGACGATCTAAGTTGATCGAATTGGGTCTCGTTCCTTGAACCGATATTTAACACTTCGCAATCACCTCTCAGCGAAAATAAAGATTTATGAAACCGAGCAGTGTGGGCTCACTATAATATTTCAACACTACTCTCCGGCTAATAATTACTAATGGATATCGTGTCGATCAACAGTTCGCAAAATTAAATATAGTTTTTGTCAAACTCGATCAACCGGAGACACTTGAATAGAAAAACTAACCCTTATTTGAAGAAGTTCGACTTAACTCTCTACCCTACAAGATTTATAGGCACAAATCTTCGATTGGGTAACTATTTCTGTACCGGAGATGCCGTATGGCCGATCTCGAACATTGAAGGCGAAATGGAAATTAGCGAAACCTCCAAACCTTTTTTGTGTTAATTCTTCTTTCGTTTAATTGTCAATCCGCTATGAAAATGCACCGGAACGATCATCATTCTGCGACAGTTAGTGTCGTTCCCCGATACCAAACAACACCGTATCAACCACCTGCATAATACTTGAACAGCCGATACAGACCCATAAGATATCGTCTCCAGATGCATCGAACCGTTTTCCGGTGACGTTCGGTCCCCATAATCGATTTTTTTCGCAGCACATCGGTGAACGTTAAAAACGACCGGTGGACCCTCCGAAGGATATTACCGTTAGCCCCCGGAGAAAAACCGATAGCCGAAAGACGGCCCGTATTAATTTTTAATTAGAGCTACCCTAACACAGTTGCCAAGTTGTACCGAAATAAATCGAATCCACACCCAGGTAGAGGCGAATTTGGCAGCGGTTGGGGCGGAAGGTGGGCCCATGGGCCTACAAGTTGCCAAATCGCTCTGAAAATACGCTAGTCACTTGAAAGTAAGGTTGTTTTATGAGGTGATTTGGCATCGTTTGCTGTGCGGGAGATGGCGGGTGTCCTCCGTGACCAAAGTGACGACATATGCAAAGCGGCCCGGGACCGAGGCCGAGGGCCGCATGCCGGAGGACTCAACCCTCTCGAGCCGCCGAAAACTGGGTCACAAGGAACAGGAACAGAAAGACCCTCGGAGGTCCAAGGAACTTGGGGAGCTAGCTACCGCGCTGTTGCCAACTCGAGCAGCGCAACCGAAAGGGATTTCCAAGGAACAGTCCGCACGGAGAAAAAAACTTCGTGCGTGGGACCCGAAGTTTAGGTCATATGGATCTCTGAAGTTTTCGGATTGAGCATCTGATCACTTTAGGTCCAGCTGCTGAGGTTTGGATCACACATCTGAAACTTCAGTTCTTACATCTGAGGTACTTCGGTTTTCACATCCGAACGACTTCGGTTCTCACATCCAAAAAACTTCGGTTCTCACATCTGAAGTACTTCAGATGTAAGAACTGGCGTTTCAGATGTGTGATCCGAACCTCGACAGCTATACCTAAAGTGGTCAGATGCTCAATCCGAAAACTTCAGAGATCCATATGACCTAAACTTCGGGTTCCACGCACGAGGTTTTTTTCTCCGTGCGAGATCCTGGCGCATGCACATCAGAGTTAAAAAGAAGAACGTTCGGTTATGAGGCCCTCTACCACTCCTACTGCCGGGGATTATTTGATCTGCCATTTAAACCTATGGAAAAGGATCGATAAACAGGGTGTTTGTAACGAACAGCTTAATAATCGATTCTTTACCATAGTTTCAAAGGAGGAAGTATCGCTGATCGATCATTCACGCCTTGCCACTGATTTGAATTTGAGCTACTGGACATTGGAAAAAAGTGTCTTGTATCCAGAGTTCAGACTCTACAAAATTTTAACAAAAAAAATTACTCTTATAATTCAATCGGATTTTTACTTGAATCAAATGCAAATCCGCTTAAATAAGGAGGTTTGGCTCTCGATTCAAGCAACAATTCGATTAAATCAAGGGCATTTTTCCTTGTCGAGTGTTTTAAGAGTCTCTGGACTCTGGATCCAGAAGACTTCTTTTAGTGAGCACAGTGAGATTTTAGAGATATGAGATCCATTTCTCTTTAGCTCACGTTTCTATGACTCGGGAAATCTAAACTGTCGCATATATCATCGCTTCTTTACAGTAAAGGCGTAGGTCAATTTTCACATAATGAAATTCCCGGAAATTTCCCGGAACGCAGAGATTTATATGTAAAACAAGACTCACGTGGAAATTGACAATTGACGTGGAGTTGACCGTTTACGCGGCACCCGAGATGTCTTGCTGACTATCTACGACGGGATTCAAGCGAGGCCGAAATTAAACTTTGTGAGGTGTCAGCGGCAACGCAAGATGCCGAAGCTACCCCGTTCCCGTCGCGGATTGGGTAATTACGAGGGTGTTTTCGGAGTTGAGACTCCTTTCAAGATACGGCCGCGCGTCTTACACACCCCATATAAACAGTCGATTCGCCCACCCCCCGCCCCGCTGCGCTCATACCGAGCTGAAGGGCGGGGGCGGGGAGGTTTTACGTCGCCCTACCTCAACAGGTCCTTCGCCTTGAACTTGCTTTCAAGTTTGATCTCAGTGAAACCGAAACCTAAACCGCAATTCAAATAGAACCGGAACATTTCTTCGCCCGGATCTTTTACTCCGGAGAATCCGTCGCGAGGACTGTTAGAAATTCCGGTGTGAAACCCGGAGTGGATTTCACTCCGGCGGCTGATCACCTATCGAAATTGATGTACTTATATTATGTTGCGTTAAAAGTTGTCTCTGGTTAAAAGGCACCATCACACCTACTTGAATCTCAATTTTAACCTAATTGGAAAAATAAATCTGGAAAAATAAATCTGCTCATCAGCACAAAACTTCAATGAAGACTCTGAATGGCGCGCCACGTGAATGTGCATCATTGCTGTGAGTACGAGGAAAACCAGTTCGCCTTCAATTTTTTGGATATGCAATACGGACATCCATCGAACACGAATAGTTGCATCCCAGACGCTAACATCAATCTCGTTCCATCATGCCAGTTCAGAAACCTCTTCGTCTCCTGCACCGTGAGGTTCTTAATCGTGAGTTCAATAAAAGCCAGTTCGCCTTCAATGTTTTGGATATGCAATACGGACATCCGCCGGACACGAATTGTTGCATCAAGGCGCTAGCATCAATCTCGTCCGATCACACAAGCTCAAAACGCCTTCCGTCTCTTGCGCCGTTACGCGATTAATGCGAGAGCCCCCCCCCCTTCTCACCCCAAGGGATTTTATCATTGCGAGAAAGATAGACAGCGAGTGATTATTAAAATTGATAGACAAATTGATAGAAAAATAAGACAACAAGGAAATAGAGGGAAGCCGTTATTACTTACCTGCTTTGTCCATTCATAGGATTGATCAATTTTCTGTTTGCCCGCTTTGTCCATTACTTTGTCTATCAATTTCAATAATCAGACCGCAGGGTGTGCAGAGTTACCAGATAACCCGAGTGAAACCAACTCTTTAAAGCGCAGTGGTATTAGAAAGGATCTCAAACCCCAAAAAGGGCAGATTCTTTTATTTTAACGAAATTAGCTCTGAGTAATGTTCCTCAGGAACGTTATCTTGGTCTTTGAACAAACGTTCCTTTTTCATCAAACCTCAAGCGTTACCTAAAAGACAAATTCTGGAGCTCTGACCATATCCAAGTACAACAACTTCGACGTTTGATAAAAACCCCTCTCGAAATTCAGCGGGGAACAGAGTAATAAGAGGGCACGGTAGAATCTAACACCTTCCGCTTGTTAATTTTATGCATATCAAAGCTAATGGACTTTTTTCCTTTCTGGTTCCCGATGGACGTTTAACGAGAAAAATATAGGTGGTATTGCAAACTGAAATCGGAGCCGGTTGGTGCTGCATTAATAGTTATTTAATACGGATATAAAATTAAAATGATCGTCTCCCTGCAAGGACTGTTTATGAGCTGGGGAACAAGTTTTATAACAGCTATTAGTAACAGCCGACCATTATCTTGAGCCATTAGTTACAATAGCCTCCGGCAAAGGTTAAAGGTAAGCTGAAATTATTGGGTGCGAGTATATGCGCGAATACTTTCGTTTCTGTTTAGGATTTCTTTCTCTTCGTCTATTTTTCACACACAGACCTACTCGCGGCGTACCTTTAAAATTTTTACTCCTCCTTCCGACGCTTATTCTCTACTCCAGTGTAATTTGTATTTTAAAATTTATTTCCTAAGAAAGTGAGATTTTTTGTAGCTACGATTCGTTTATTCAATTTTCAATTTAATTTAGAATAGTTTTAGGTTGAATCCATAGGAATTTACAGAGACTTACGGAAAATAATCGATAAATAGAGTGGTCGTAATGCACACCTAAATATTCGATTCTTCACCATGGGTTCAAATGCACTGGAAAAAAGCACATTGGATCTAGAGCCCAGACTCTTAAAAGCATCGACAAGAAAAAATACTCTTGATTCAATCGCAGATTTAAGCTTAAATCAAGAACCAAGCCTCTTAATTTGAGCGGATTTCCTTTTGATTTAAGCTTAAATCTGATTGAATCAAGAGTCATTTTTCTAGTCAATGTTTTCAAGAGTCTGGACTCCAGATCCAATGTGTTTTTTTTTTTTTCCAGTGTGGGGAAATATCGAGAATCGATCATTCGCGCTTCGCCGTTGATTTTGACGCGACCATTACAACTTTCCTTGACACAAAAAGAACCATTATGAGTTCATATTTAATAATGGAGGAGATATTTACCTTGGCTGTATGCGTTCGCAGACTCGACTCTGTGGCAAATCCCTTGCCACAAATTGAGCAATGGAAAGGTCTGTTCTTTGCTCGTTCTACCTGGGCGTCGTGGTTCCGTAAGTGCTGCTGCAAATTCGATAGTTGGATGAAGGCGCGTCCGCAATCCTCTAAATGACATCGGTACGGTCGTTCACCTGCAAACACAAAAACAGAATACGTAAATGAAAAATATAAATTAATGTAAAATGACTTTAGAGAGTTAACGATCAGATTTGCCTAATATTGAGCGGTGACCGAAGAGTGGAACACTTGGCTTAGAAAACATAACCAAATTCACAAAAACTCGCCTAGCAGAGTGCTTACCGAAACATTCATTAGGCAATTTTTTTTTTGGTTTTATGCTCAGCAGGTTGCTTATCAATCATTGGTAGGCGAAAAATAGCCTTGACCTCTAAACTCAACTGTTGCCCTACCCGATTACATCGCCTAGATTGTTAATTCTAAAAAGTACCGCCTCAGCGGGATGCTTGTTGAAATTGATAGACACAGCTATAGACAAATAATACGAAAGGGATATGGAGGGATCTTATTGGTGGGAGCGGGTGGTTGTAACGGACAAGAAGGTAGATAATATAGACCAACTAACGGCGTCCCACGAGAGACCCTATAGTTGGTACATCAATTTCTTCTTTAGTCTATAGGAACCAACCATTTAAACCAATAGGATCGCTCCATACTCCCTATGTCTTCCTTGTTTATAGCTTTGTCTATCGGTTTTAACAATCAGGCTGCTGGTCACCAAGGCTGAGATCCAAAACTGCGTAACCAAGAAGTCCGGGTGCAAAAACTAGCTCCAAACCTCGAAAGAAAATTCGATTTAATCGGCTGGCTTCCGTCTAATCTGATTTTTGCTCCTACCGCATTCTCATCACGAAGTTGAGCACTCACCAAGATCGGTATCAGTGGACCGATTAACAACTCCATATCGGTGGCCGAACGCCGACCTTCATCGATGGAAATACTTTCTCACGTTTTCGCGCTATTCCGCGGGGGTTTTATTAATTAATCGAATCGATGAGGGTTCGCGACCGTTTTTTCCCCGGTGCTAATGAAAAAATTCAATTAAAAACCTCTGAGCAGATTCACAGTTAAGACGAGTACGCGCATGCGCGTGGACGGGTATGCGTTGGGAACCGGAGCCCGGAGAAAGGATTCCTGGGCAGGTAATGAGATTTTTGAAATAAATTAACATAACTCGTTTCTAAAACAAAAGAATATTAATTACTCAGTTGATAAAGAATATCTTGCTGCTACCGCGCACGGAGAGGAAGACGAAGATGTATGTGAGTGTGAGTGTGTGTGTGGACGGGGACGAGGGGGAAAAAGATACAAAAAGAGTTAAAACAAAAGGTTACATGAAATGATCCCTCCTATCCGCGCTTCTTAGCGAAGGTTTAAAGAGCTGATGCCTTTTGTTTCAGCCCACTCGACTCCCGGCTGATTTGCATGAGAAATGGACAGCGCGCCGTGAAAAAATGTAACGTGCCGTACGGAATGGGCCTTGGATCGTATGGAGTTGCGTACGTGCCAGGGTTCACGTTGAGGATAGGATGGCATTCTTTCGCTTCGCGCTGTCCAAATAATTCAGGGATCACGATTTTTCACACATCTTCACTTCCGCCGCGGGGTAAAAAATTTTAAAAAGGGGGAAACAGGTTCGAGGAGCGTAACTGTAAGTCGCGGATGTCTCTTTCGCTTGTCACAATAAATGTTGGAGGGAAGGTGCGAAATAGTGCTGGTCTCTTTTTGAGTCTCGTTTGAGTTTCGTAAGCTTATTTGGATCGCATTCACACTGAAAAAAAATTCTCGGCGTTTATACCAAGGTCCGTTGGTACCTTTACGATCTCACTTTTTTTTTACCAATTTTTGGTAATTTTACCAAGACAGACTGGTAGGCTCACCTAAAAACCGGTATTTTTACTGTTTTTTTCAGGTAAGAACACCACTTTTATTGGTGATCAATTCCCGGTAACTTTGCCATTTTATCTCGGTGATTCTACCACAGTCGATAAAAAATATTGGCGTTTTTACAAAGTCCAGTAAAATTACCGAGAAAGTTCAATAATTTTACCGAGATTTCTCGGTAAAATTACCAATTCTGTAAATGGTAATTTTACCAAGAAAAAACTGGGATCAAATAGAACCCTGGATTCTTGGTATTTTTACCCTTTTCTTAGGAAATACACCGAGATTTTTTTTTTCAGTGCAGCGAAAAGGAACCAGCCCGATTGCAGTATTGTAGAAACGTTGAGTCTTTATAATTATCTGACAAATCTCCCAAAGCAAATAGTTTTTTCTTCCCACCAAGGAAATTGTTAATTTTAAAGGAACATAATTGTGTAAATTTCAATACTGTACATATATTAAGTATCTTCAAAAGTAAAGAAGAAGTTGCACAATTTTGAAAACACTGTAAAGGAGAATTTGCAAGGGTCTGAAATTTGATGAATTTCGCGTTCAAGTGGAACCTACTGAGTGAACTGAGCACGAGATACCCTTCATCCATAAATTAAGCAATTATAAGAGGAGATATGGCAAAATAACCGATTCTGCTAAAATACATGTGTTTAAATGGGAAATGCCGCCAGATGACGCCACTAGGCGGTGCATTTTCTCACTTTTAAATCGATTTTTAAAACATTTCACATGTCAGAAGGAAATTATTAAATATACTGTGAAATCAGCTCTTTAAGCACTTTCAGATGAAGCAATAAATAATTGGCGTGCAAATTCTCCTAATGCATGGATTATCAAACTATTGAATCTTTTGGGGTTATGTTTCATTCCTTGTGAACTTCTGTGAGTCTCCTGTGAGTCTCTGACGAACAAACTTTTATTTATAATGGAAACTGTACATTTAAATTAAGAATTTCCACCTTCCAAGTATAAAGCTCAGGGTTTCTCGTCGAGAGAATGAGGAGGGTTTTAATCTTTTTGATATAATTTTAATTGCTTTATGAGAATGATTGCGGTCAGTGATCTGTGCACTTCCTTTTGAAACTGAGAAATAGGCATCTAATTTCCAGGGTATCGGCACCTACTTTCAAACAGAGCAAATTAATTCATCCTAAAATTATTCATAAATATTTCCCTTTCTAGCGGCTCGGCGAGATGGCTCCAATCGCGGCAAATTGTGAATAATGAAATGCGCCATCATCGTACCGCAAAAGCCTCAAATGGTCTCGAAGGAAAGTAAATAGCCGGTTGGTGAAGCATTAATGTATTCCTATCACGTTTTATTGGTTCTTCCGAAGAGAAATGGAGGGGCTCAGTTGCGGGAAAAACGGAAAAAGAGGGCTTCGGAAAAAAAAAAAAACTGAAAAGAAGGTGCTGAGGGAGGTAATTGACTTTACTTCATAAAATAAATGGTGCATCAAGATTTTCTTCCGCGAGGAGATAAAAAGTGCCCGCCAATGGAAAGAAGGGGGCACTCTTACGATTCTTACAGGCTGAAGAGGTAGAGAAATAAGTGCAAGTAAGCGCGCAGAAACGGCTCTGCAAAAGCTCCAGTTCGAATGTTTTTCGTGTTAAGACCAATATTCTTAAGTGTTTTTTTTTTTTCTCGCGGATTGAGTTTGAAGTTGGCAAGGTGTCGAATTCGATTTTAGAAGCCAGATAACTGATTCCAATTGATTTTTTTGAAATTCGCTAATCCTTTGCAAAAAATACTAAATAAACATCCGTTGAATATTACCATAACAGATTGATGTTACTCTTTAAGCGCTGGCTCAATATTTCCACAATATTGAGAGAATAAATTGAACCATCTTGCGTAAATGTTAAATGATAACGTAATATTATCTGATTATATTTGCTTCAACTGAGTAAAAGTGTAGGTATACATAACTTCATTCCAACATAAAAAATCGCCAACAATTTTTGTTATTATTACTTTTTTAAAATAAATCGAGCACTGGGAATAAAAACACATTGGGTCTAGAGTCCAGACTCTTGAAAACATTGACAAGAAAAAGGACTCTTGATTCAATCAGATTTAAGCTTAAATCAAAAGGAAATCCGCTCAAATTAAGAGGCTTGGTTCTTGATTTAAGCTTAAATCTGATTGAATCAAGAGTATTTTTTCTTGTCGATGTTTATAAGAGTCTGGACTCTAGATCCAATGTGTTTTTTTCCAGTGAGGCAAAATATCTCTTTGACATGTTCGTTTAATAATTTTTAAAGTGGGAAGACATAATTCATAGACAATTGCGAGGCAAACTATTTATTGGTTTTCTTGTAAAAAATTAATATATTAGCGGAGCTTTGCAACTTCCCAATCGGAGGAATGAATTTTTCGTTTTTATTGATCAATATTCCAATATTTTCGTCGTCAAATTTGCTGTGAATCCGGCAACTTCGCATTGGAGCAGAATACACACATTAGATCGAAATAATATTAACCGAACGACAACGACGAGTGCCGTGCCGAGTTGATAGGTGAACGAATCGATATAAATTAGCCATCGAGGGAAATTATTTATTTCCGCAAAGTGGAAAAGTTTTTTCATGCTCTCCTTTTAAAAACACATAAAACGGGCTCCGAGAAGAGCCGAGCTCGCCCGGCGGCAAGAACAGCGTAACTCCAATGCGATCTCTCGGTCGGATACGAGGTTTTTTCCGCGCGCGGCTGTGCATTTCGAACATCTTATAAACATGCATGGGTAGCCGAGGAGCACGACCGATCCGGAATAAAAAGAACAATAAATAAGTTGAGAAAATGGCTTCGGATTTGAGTAAAGGTCGCCTATTATCGACCCCCCTCTTTTTCGCTATTCTTTTCCGAAGTACATAGGGATAACAAATCCGCCGCCCATCGTTGCGAAATCTTATTGTTTTGCGAGAATTCGATTCTTCTATCAATAATATTTGGACGAGTTCAGTTACAATCATCTATGAGCTGATAATAGTTGGAATTGATAGACAAAGCGATGGACAAAGAGAAGATGGAGCGATCCTAATGGTGGAGTCGAGTGGTTACGATGAACAAAGGAGGTAAGTGTTAGACTAACTGTAACGGCAACCAAGGAGTGAACATATACTTAGTCCATCATCACATTTAGTGTTCGAAACTTACCTCTGAATTTTAGGAGCCAAGTGGCGCATCAAGCCCGATTTTTAGGCGCCATCGAAGATT